TTTTGTATACATTTATTAAAAAAAACCTTTAAGGTTTAAAAAATTCAGTTTCTAGACTTCCGGCAACAATGAGTGAATTTTTGAAGGTAATCATGTGATAAAATTTGAACCCATGATCTCTTCCGCCCCAAAATATAATATAACCACAAAACCTTTGAAGCCATTTAATTGATAAAAATATATACAAATTTATATAGGTTTTTTTTATATGTGTGTGTATATATAGAACTCAGGGTTAATGTGTAAATTTATTTCAGCAGTTTTCATTCAAGAATACTGGATATCTAGGAGTTTTTTTTTTGAAAGCAAGTTTTTTCTGAAAATTTAAAATTGTAGCAATATTACCTCTTGTCATTAAAAATGTTAACTGTCAACATCAGTTCTTTAATGGTGAGGAGACAATGTTACTACAATTTTAAACTTTTAGGATAAATTTGATCTTAGAAAATTTTTGAATAACCAGAACTCCTGAGTAAAAATTTTTGACATAAATTTGCATCTTAACACTAAAACTCCAAACTTTTTAACAAACAATTCTAAATACTAATTTCATAACATTAATTAGTTGTTAATTTCTTATACTAGAGTTGTTAATTGTGCTAGGGCAATTCTCAATGTAGTTGTTGATATGATGAGTTATCACCTTATAGTAAAATCGTCAACAACTACCACCTCCGGTTTTAATTATAAGAGCTAGTTGACTAATTTGAGGAGATTAATGAAAGAAGTTAAGTTAGTTATTTGTAATAAATATTCTAAAATATCTTTGCTAATCAAGTATATTAATTAGAACTATCATTATTAAAAAGACTACATTGAGAAAAAAAAATACATAAATATAAGAGACAAAGTGAATTTAAGTTTTATATTTAAAACCAAAATAAAAGTAAAAAAATGTCTTATATTAAATACCAGAGGTAGTGATATATTATAAAATTTACTCATCATTTCTGGGCTATTGTTTTATTGTCATGTAAACACATTATAACAATATTAGACTTAAGCTTGAAACATCATACAAACATACATACATGACGCAACTGTTGGAACAACTTGTCGTTGATGTCTGTATGATCGAATGTGTGGTCATTCTTTTGCTATCGATCACACAAACACACAAAATCTTACATAATGCTCATCACATACACAGCACGCAATAATTCAACACCACGAGAGAGATTCTGAGAATTAATTAATTAGGAGTATACGCATCATATATTCGAATATTCGACACAAGACCACCACGTGAATCAACTTCCTACGATCCTTCCATAACCATATGCGCATGTTAAATTAACTGTTTCTCTTTTTCATACAACTTGCCAACACTTTTGATAGCTCATATGCCATCACTTATTCCATATTTATATAATATTCACCCACTTATATTATTACATTCCCCCTTTTTTTATTTTTGTTTTTTCCCTCCTCAAACCACATTCTTTAGATGCACTCCTTTGCAATTGCTACATCATAAATAATGCTTTTAACAAAAATATTCAATTTCTTTGTCTTATTATGATAATTGAGTCCTTAATATTATGATGTTATATCAACATATATATATATATATATATATATATATGTTGATACAGAAGAAGGCTTAACGCCTAAAAGACTAATAAAAGGTTAACCAAGGGGACTAAATTATATTCCATACACTCCTAATCCATTAGTTTCCTCAAATTAATAGGACACCCACTTAAAATAGATGATTCCGTGATCTCTTCCTTTGCTAGATGATCAGCCACTTTGTTTATTTCTCTTGAAATATACTGCACTTCCAGCTCCCAAGCATACCACATTAGCCTTTTAATCTGAAGCATCAACAGGCTACAACTCTCATCACTAATACCGTTTATCATCATGTCCACTATATATTCTTTGCATCTGATTCAAGAATAACTTTCTTGAATCCAAGCTCCCAAGCAAGGTTGAGACCTTTAAAGATTGCCCATTTTTCAGCTTTTGAAACATCGCAGGATCCTAAAGAGTATTTAAAACCAGCCACCCAGACCCCATTATGGTCTCGGATAACTCCACCACATCCAGCTTTGCTTTGAGACTTAGTAACCGCACCATCTACGTTGATTTTGAGCCCTCCAACGAGAATCAATTTCCTGGGGAAACTTGCGCTCAGTTTTAGCAACCTGCATGTTCACATAATGCAACCAACTATGCTTTATTATGAGAACTGGGTCCGGAGGCTGGGTGAAATCTTCAACAAAGACATCCTTATTTCTCCATAACCATAATTTCCATATTGAGACACCCACATAATGTAAGGCCAATTACCATCACAGGTCTCTTCTTAAGTTAAGAGCAAACCAATCAAACAAGTTAGTTGGAAAAAAATTGAGACTGAAATCTGGGATTCAATAGCTGTAGCCATAAGGATCTCGCATATTCACAGTCCCTGAGGATATGTAATACATCTTCAACGCTAGTAGATTAGCCCTTCTAGCTACTGCTATTCTGGGTGCCAAGGCAGTACAAGAGAATGTGAACCACATAAAATGTGCAGTCCCAGAAGGCAAAGCATATGACGGTGGGCCTGGTCCTGGAACCTTCTGAATTATTAATTTTGTGGCTGCAAATTTTTTTCAAAATAAAAAATCTGAAGACTTCTTAAATTAGGAACTTGTACAAGAAAACAATAAATCTCATTTAATACTTCATTTGAAAAATATCTCCTTCCTGGTTGAAGTTCACCGTTGCCGCGTTTTTTGAACCTTCTCCCATGGGGTCATGTCACTATATTTTTTTAATATTTTATTTAACTGTTAATTAGCAAAAAGAAAAAAGTAAACTTATCGTTTAAGAAATTTAAATTAAAATAATCCAAAACAAATTTATACCGTCCAAATTTCATGATGTGATAACTGATAACGCAGCCATACTCATAATGATAAATGGCACTATACATATAGTTGGCACTTATTAATTGATAAAAAATATACAAATTTATATAGGTTTTTATGTGTGTATATATATAAAACTTAAGATTAAGATACAAATTTGTTTTAAAAATTTTCACTCAGGAGTATTAGATATCCAGAAGTTTTTTGGGGAGTAAGTTTACTTCAAAAGTTTAGAATCATAGTAATATTATCCCTTGTCCTTAAAAATTTTAATAGTTAATGTTAGTTTTTTGATGATGAGGAGACAATATTGATACAATTTTAAACTTTTAGGATAAATTTGTTCTAAAAAAACTTTCAAGATAAATTTATTCTAAAAAAACTTTTGGATAACTAGATTTCCTGAGTAAAAATTTTCAAAACAAATTTGCATCTTAATGTTAAAACTTTTAAACTCCAAACTTTTTAACAAACAATTCCAAATACCAATTTCATAACATTAGTTGTTAATTTCCTATACTAGAGTTGTTAATTCTGATAGGGCAATTGTCAATGGAGTTGTTGATATGATCAATTATCACCTTCTTATAGTAAAATTGTTGATGTTTTTTGTCTTGCCAGAAAAGTTGTAAAGTTTTATATAGGAAATTAACGATTTTATTACAGAAAAATAACGACTAACATTATGAAATTTGTTGATCATTTTGTGCGTATAGAGAAATAACTTATTCTTTTGTCAATGACTATAATACCAATGTCTATTAAAATTAATAATTTCAATATAGGTGTTAACAATTAGTATACTATAAAATTAACTATTGTTTTATTGTCACGTAAACACATAAACGTGTTATAATAATATTGGGTACTATGAAAAGTATTTTTTAAAATTATTTTTTTATAAATCGAGATAAATCCCTTTACATATTTATTTCGTATATCGTAAAAATATTTTTAAAACCATAGTTTTGATTCTATCCGAACATTCTCAAGTAAACACCTCCACACCTTTATTTTGTATATTATAAAATTATTTTTAAAATCACGATTTTAGTTCCATCCAAATACCTCTTTAAATTTAAAACATCATATAAGTATAATAGAAGACGCTGCAATTAGAACAACTTGTCGTTAATGTCTTTGTGATCATTCTTTTGCTTTCGATCACACAAACATAAAATCTTACATATGATCATCACATACATAGGACGCAATAATTCAACGCCACGAGAGAGATTCTGAGAATTAATTAGGAGCAAACGCATCAAATTCGTATATTCGACACAAGACCACCACGTGAATCAACTTCCTATGATCCTTCCTTCACCATATTCCCTTGTTTATTAGCTGTTTCTCTTTTTCATACAACTTGCCAACACTTTTGATAGCTTATGTGCCATCACTTTTTCCATAATTATATATCCACCCGCTTATATTGTTATATTCCCCATTTTTTATTTCTGTTTTTTTCCCCCAAACCACATTCTGTATTTGCACTCCTTTGCAATTGCTACATCATAAATAATTTTTTTAAATAAAATATTCAATTTCTCTGTCTTATTATGATAATTGAGTCCTTAATATTATGATGTTATATTATTAGCCCTTTTAAGTATTATGGGTGCCAAGGCAGAACGAGAGAATGTGAACCATAATGTCCAGTCCCAGAAGGCAAAGCGTGTGGTGGTGGGCCTAGTCCTGGAACCTCCATTAATAAAAAAATAATATAAGAATTATTAATTTTATGGCTGCAATTTTTTTCCAAAATAAAAAATCTGAAAACTTCTTAAATTATGAACTTGTACAAGAAACAATAAAGAGGTGTTTGGCAAGATAGAACAGTATTTCTAAAAAGTACTTTTTCATAAAATGAGACAGACTCTTTTATATATTTATTTTGTATACTGTAAAAACAGTAGTTTTACTTTTGTCTAAGCACCCTCTAAATCTCATTTAATTCTTCATCTGAAAGGTATCTCCTTCCAGGTTGGAGTTCAGCGTGGCCGCGTTTTTTGAACCTTCTTCCATGGGGTCATATCATTATATTTTTTATATTTTATTTAACTGTTAATTAGCAAAAAGAATAAAGTAAACTTATCGTTTAAGAAATTTAAATTAAAATAATCCAAAACAAATTTATACCGTCCAAATTTCATGATGTGGTAACTGATAACGCAGCCATACTCATAATGATAAATGGCACTATACGTATAGTTGGCACTTATTACTATTTATTGTGCCAAAAACAATGACTTAAATAATTTAATAATAATAATAATAATGCCTAAACGCAATAACCTACCCGGCATCACTGAATCGTCAAAATAGCGAAGCCACTTATTTCTCATAGTTTATTCACCGGCTATTCCGGTTTATACTCTAATTCTAAAATTCGAGGCCTTAATTTCTCTTTCCAGAATTCTGCACCACTTTCTTCGTCTTTCTCTTTTTTCTTCACCTCAATCACAACCAGTTCATCCGTTAGCCGGTAGACACCGATCAGTATGACGAAATTACCACTATGCCCCTCAATCTTGGCTCCCCATCCGTCCTGTTTTCGGGTCACCGTCCCTATGTCCCGATCAGCTACCGACTCCACCATCTCCACGATCCTCTTCGGTGTCTCCTTCGAAACGACGCGTTCCACACTGCCAGAAACTTCCGGTTCCGGGTCGGTGATGAGCAGGCCCGACATGTCCAAACCCGAAGAGAACGATATCAAATGGAAGGCGTTCAGGGACTTGTTTCTGTCCTCATCCTCCCATTCCGGATTCTTCTGCTGGACTTTGATCTCTCTGTACCCTTTTCTGAACCACGGGTCTTCCAGAATCTCATCGATGGAGATCCTCGTTTTCGGGTTCGCGTCTAGCATCCGTTTGATTAACCGTTTCAAATCGGGTTTCACGCATCGGGGGATGCGAACCTGGCCTCGGTATATTCTCCTCAACAGCGTGGGCACGTTGGATTCGTTGAACGGCAAAGACCCGACGGTGAGCACGTACAAAACGACGCCGCACTGCCACACATCGACTTTCTCTCCGTCGTAGCCTTTCTTGGCGAGCATCTCGGGGGTCAGGTAAGCAGGGGTCCCACAGAGAGTGTGCAGCATGCCGTCGGGTCGGATCTGGTCCGTCGTGGCGCTCAACCCGAAGTCCGAAACCTTGAGGTTCAAATCCTGGTCGAGCAGGAGGTTATCGAGCTTCAAATCGCGGTGAAACACGCCGCGAGAATGGCAATGTTGGACGGCTGAGATTAACTGCTGGAAACAACGACGGCTGTGATCTTCGTCAAAGAGGCCGTGATTAAGGATTCTGTCGTACAGCTCGCCGCCATGAGCACACTCCATGACAAAGTAAATCTTAGTTTTAGTGGCGAGGACCTCGTACAGTTTCACGATGTTGGGATGATTCAGCCGGTGCATGATCGCGATCTCCCTCTGAACCTGCGCCGTGAGGCGGGCCTCCGCTATCCTGCGCTTGCTCACGACCTTAATGGCCACACTCTGCTTCGTAACAACATGGAAAGCTTCATAAACCTTGGCGAAACCTCCAACGCCGAGAAACCTGCCAATCTCGTATTTCCCGAACAAAACCCCCTCGGGCTCCTCTTCTCTGGTCGGAGAAGTAGATTCTACTCTTTCCTCCTCGCCAATATTCCTGTTAATTTCTCGAATAGCCTGAAACATAATGACGACAAGACGATGTCACGGAGGAATCTGAACAGCGAGTGAAAGTGGTCTCTGGGAATTATAAGGATATGAAAAGGTTTCAACTTGAGGAACGCTTAAGCGATAAGGCATGTGAGGAACAGAGAAGGAGGAGGAAGAAGAAGAAGAAGAGTGGAAAAGGGCGTGTGAGAATTTGACATTTTGAGGAGGGGGAGTGATATTACTCTTATACGGAAAATTACGGTATTTTCAAACCGGAAAGTGAGGGTTCGAACAAGACCCAAGATGGTGATATAATTTGTTTTACTTATAATTTATAATTATAATTATAATAAGTTTTTTTATTTTTTTGCCCAATATAACAACTTGTGCTGTTATATCTATTTTTAACTAACACCAACTAGAACCAGTTGTGTTTGACGTGTTTTTTTAAATATATTTTGGCCAACTGTTTAACACTTTAACTCGTCTTTAATCAGGAGAATTAGTGTTGTGTTTGACTTCAAACACATCATCTACATCGCTTTTTAAGTTTATCCCTTTGATCTTTTTGTTTTTTTTTGTATGGATCTTATACATTTCTAATTTTTTTTTAGTAAAAAAAGGATTTTTACTAGGTATCTAGTAGTGCAAGTTGAGAGATTTATATATCTTTTGAGGTATGTGTTTAAGATTTTGCTTTTTCAAGTGTGTTTGTTTGTCGGATAAGGTGTTTATTTTTTGAGACGTCAATTCATCAACTTGTGTTGATAGTTAATTTTTCCTTCTTGTTAAACCTACCATAAACCAGTTGTGTTCAATCGGGTTTTTTTAAATTTAGGCCAACTGTTCTACCGTGTTTAATTATAATTAGGAGTCTTTTAATTGTCGTGTTCCACATCAAATAATTGATAAATATTTATATCGCTTTTTAAGATTATGGGCTTGATTTTGTTATTCTATATAAAATCTCAGTTTCTAGGGAATTATTAAAGATTACAAGATTTTTTTAAAAAAACATTTTATACTTGCATAAATATTTTGACTGAAACATAAAAATAGATTAAAATGTAAAACCTTGCCCATAAACGATATAATTGTTTTAATATGTATATATTATTTAATACTATAGTTTCAAAGATGTGTCTTTTGAGGTAAAGCGCTCTGAATTGAATAAAATACTTCTGAGGTAATTTTTAATTAACTTTTATTTTTCCATATATTGAATCGATATTGATTTGGAATTATTTAATGTTATCGTGTCATATAATTTTTAAATTGAATGAATTAAAATACGCCAAATTGTGGCACTAATCATGCATGAGACGGTTCGATACAGAAAAGATAATTAGGTTTAGACATATAATAATGTGTCTTGACAAATTAAAACTATAGCGATAGATAATATATTATTTTGATACACAAGATTGAATCGAATGATTCTATTATGCCAAAAGAAACTAATGATTTGTAATATTATTTTGATATATACACTCTAATTTTGTGAATTAAAGTGTTACTGATTTATGAAACTGATCATGCATGTTTGAATTTTGAAAAGTTAGAGAAAGAGAAAATTAGATTTACATTTTAAGGTATAAGCATCATGAATAATTTTGATATTTAAAAAGATTCCGATCAACAAAGCTTTTTTAGCCACTAATTCTGGGGAAAAAATTATCATCACAAAGACCTCGTAAACTACTAGACAAAATTTCTAACAAAAATCCAGCTATTGAATTCTGAACCAAGTTTAATATATACAGGATTATAAATATCCATTTTTATAAGATTACAAGTATCTATATTATATGATAACCTTTACTGCATTAACCATCTTTTAGATTGTTAAAATTTACTGTATAAAAATTGGTAGCGTTGAGTGCAAACTGCAAAGAAAGAAGAGAAGTAAATCCATGCAACTAACACAAAGTTAATCTAGCAGTGTAAGGCCCGAGTACTAAATTTATTCTGGATCTTACGTTTGAGTTTTATGAGGTGTTTGGATAGAAACCAAATCATGATTTTAGAAATGATTTTACGGTATACGAAACAAATTTGCAGAAAAATTTGTCTCGATTTACAGAAAAGTGTTTTTAAAACATTTCAGCAAGAATCCAACACCCCCTTAAAGAAGATACTTGTGTTTGGAGGGACAGTCATGAATCTCGAATCGGATTAGTTGTTTACTTGAATGCTTAATAATAAGATTTAGAAAAAATATTGAATAAGAATAACAGTAAAGTAGAGAGGTCAAGGGTAGTACTCAAGAGCCGTGCACAAAAAGGGCAAAAAAATTGTGGAGTAGAAGAACTGATGTGAAATAAAAAAAGAAGCATTATAAGAAAAAGAGGATAAAGAACAAAGAGAGAGTGATAATGAAAAAAGAAAATGGGAGAGCACAGAGTCCACAAGCAATTCATGTCAAGCATATATCACATCACTTTATATTCGCATTATCTTTTGAATGAGCGACCATTCCTGGCCTCATCCATTATTTCAACTTCCTTTTCTTTTTTCTGATAATCACACATTTGGTTTTATTTTTGCCTCAATATTACTATTGATTATTGACTCGTCCTGTCAAATAATTTGCACCTCAGATTTTGTTTCACACTTAAGAAAAATAAAGTGGATAAAAATTGAAAGGCACAATACAATACAATCAAACTTTCAAGAAATATGAGAATGTTTTTAAAATATTAATGCTACGCGTTGTTTTATACCTAATCACCCTCCACTTTCAATAAGCGACATGTGATGAAGGAAGCTTTTCTTGGTTTTTTTGGTTTTATGTTTTTTGTATGAACTATTTAAAGTGATAGTGTCCAGTACTTATTCAATATAATATATAAATATATAATTAATGATTAATGATACTAGCCAGATGGCGTCTCATGTGTCTTGCTCTAAAAATAAGTTACGTTATTCATTACTTGTATAAAATAATATGTCTTCTTATAATTTATATATATAGAAAAATATATGTCAAGTTCTTGGTATTTATTGTGTCAAGTTCTTC